TCACACTGATCTCTCATTGGCTGAGCTGAGTATGTACTCTGTGTAAGTACTGCTAATAAACTGGTTACTTTGTAAAAGGAGAGGGATGAGACCAAGGGGGTACATATACGCTGCAGAAAGCTGCAATTTTTTTTTTTTTTATTTTATCAGCACAACTAAATGAAGAATGCCAAGATCGGATAGAATGAATGTGTTGGTAGTGCCTGGAGTGTCCTTTTAAAGTTATACTGATGACTAATATAGCAGAATCCACTCATTATAATGGCTGTGATTTGTGACCTGTAACCTCGTATGGATGCATTATTAGATCGCCTTAACCTTTAGCGCTTACCAATAGTTCCTGCATGTCTGAGCATCTTTTTCCAGTGAATACTTGTATGTGTTGCTGACTCGATGCACAGCAATGTACAGGTAGTAGGTTATGCTCCAACAAGGAAGGTGGTATAGTGAACATTTAGTTACCATGATTTGCGGTCCACATATTTCTGCTTCATTTAATTATGAGTATCATTGAATTTCTCTATAGCCTTCTGCAAGTAATTCACGGCTGGTAATTATCTCTTGGAATTGAAAACAGGCTGTTTAAAGAGCAAATGACTCAGACAATTAGCCGGTTTTATACACAAGTGAAATGAGTGTCTTCTTTTCTGTTCTCCGTACAAGAAGAAAAGGTTTGAAGAGGGAGCCGTGTAGAAGATATTTTTGTATCTGTGCTATGAGGATTCGCTCTGATATTACCTTCCTGTGACTATACCAATTGATTGGTTAGATCTGTATTAAGACCCAGGACATACTTGAAAACGAGATGAATCTCAATGTATCCATCCTGGTAATTTATTTTATAAATAAAAGATGTCTGACAGCAGGGCTTGAGGTTGCGTTTTTCATGTTCAGTTTCATGATGGTGAGACTCGGACGTCAATCACTTTTGCGATTACTGTATAGAAAAGTCACGTCCGAGGTTATTGTAAGAAAGAGGAGATCAGATCTCAACGGTTGTTGGTGAAGGGCCATACTTTGTGCTTGATTTGTGAGTGACTAGAAGCAGTGACATACAAGTGACCTTGCAAAGCAAACTGGGAAGAAAGTCCCAACATATGAATTGACGAAGAGGGATTCACTGCAGACATGTTGCAGCCTAGTAATCGAACAATTCAAAATTGTATTCTCTAGGACAGATATGGGAAAAGTGATTCATTGTTCTATTGCAGTTATAAAGATACTCTTTGTGGGGTGAGGAGAATCTAGTGAAATAGAAGTGTTTGAGTATTTGTGGAATTTATTTAGAACTATGATAGCATTGGATTATGCTTCCTATAATGGTTTGCCCGTTACAATTCCACGTATTGTTTTTCTATCCTCTATAATGGATTTGAATGAATACTGGATATCGGATATTCAGTAACAGTTTGGCAGGTGTTACTCACAGATGACCCTGTGTCCTACCGAGGTCAATGCAGAATGTATTGCTATATCCTCTAAATACCATTGAACTTTCTAGTTGAAGTCATGTAGATAAATCTACTTGTTTTTATTTAGTTAAATCTTACTTGGTTGGAAGCCTATTGTGCTACTACATACATACTATTTATTTACTTTCAGTAGAATAACTCTATTTTATTTTACATCTCTGCAGCTGGTGGTGTATCAGAAAGAATGTACATAGAACTTGCGGAAACAGGCTGTTTATTAATGTATTAGTTTGTATGTTCTTCCTTAAATCTTAGACTTCATGATTGCTTAATGTCATACTGTGGCTGAGTACCCATATTAGTAGCAGTTTCCCTATGATTCTCAACTTCACACATGGGCATTAAATGTAAATGCTAACAGTGCACTGGTTTCAAGCCACTGATTGGCTTGTTTTTTCCAAGTTTACTTTGTGTTGACTTCAATCGAGACTTCATGGGTGATTTCCCTTGAGTGAAAGGGACACTGTAGGGAATGGATCAGCTTAAGTTCATTTAATTATAGAGCTTGGAGTCCCCTGGAGCTGTCTTGACATTTAGCGTTACACCATTTTCTAGTAGCTTTACATTGAATGAGAGGTCATGGGCACCCACAGCCAAGTCCCCACTGGAAGTATTCAAGTTAGAGATTATCCACTTCCTTCTAGCCATACTAATTCATACTACCAATAGCTGCTCTCATAGGCTAAAAGTAGTCAGCTGACACACTCAACCAATCACCGCTGCTCATACTAATGCTTTCTCATTAACCCAAGGAGCACAAAGGGGATGGGCTGTAGGGTACCTTTGGCTTTAAAACTTTTAAAACAGATTAATACGGAAAAAAGGGCCGGTGCCAGGTTATTTTCTGATACTATAACCACTTCAGTGATATGAAACTGTTGCATTGCCTACAGCCAGAGGCGTAACCAGAAACCACCGGGCCTCAGTGTGAAAATGCCCTACCCCGCCCCCCATGTGTCTCATTCCCTCCCCCCAGCCCCTCAATTGTCTTATTCCCTCCTCTCAGCCCCTCCATGTGTTTCATTACCTCCCTCCCCTCAGCCCCTCCATGTGTCTCATTACCTCCCTCCCCTCAGCCCCTCCATGTGTCTCATTACATAGAAACATAGAATGTGACAGCATATAAGAACCATTCAGCCCATCTAGTCTGCCCAATTTCCTTAATACTCTCATTAGTCCCTGGCCCTATCTTATAGTTAGGATAGCCTTATGCCTATCCCACGTATGCTTAAACTCCTTTACTGTGTTAACCTCTACCACTTCAGCTGGAAGGATATTCCATGCATCCACTACCCTCTCAGTAAAGTAATACTTCCTAAAATTATTTTTAAACCTTTGCCCCTCTAATTTGCCGTCACATTCTATGTTTCTATGTGCAACAGTGTCAAAAGCCTTACTGAAATCTAGGAAAGCAATGTCTACTGCACCACTTTAGATCTTATTGCTATTTTAGTTGCCCAATCAAAAAATATCAATAAGATTAGTTTGGCATGATCTCCCTGAAGTAAACCCATGTTGTCTCTGATCTTGAAATCCATGTGATTTTAGATGTTCAACAATCCTATCCTTTAATATGGTTTCCATTACTTTCCCCACTACTGGAGTAAGACTTACTGGCCTATAGTTGCCTGATTTCTCCCTACTACCTTTCTTGTGAATGGGCACAACATTCGCTAACTTCCAGTCTTCTGGGACTACTTCTGTTAACAATGATTGGTTAAATAAATCTGATAATGGTTTTGCTAGTACACAACTAAGCTCTTTTAATAACTTTGGGTGTATTCCATCAGGTCCCATTGACTTATTTGTTTTTACTTTTGACAGTTGAAATAGAACCTCTTACTCTGTAAACTCACATGTAACAAATGACGCATTTGTCCTTTTTCCTAACTGAAGCCCCTTTCCTTCATTTTCATCTGTACATATGGAACAAAAATAAAATAAATGAGGTGCGGTTGAGTTAATTAAAAAGCACAAATCTGTACAGATTTAATTAGGTACAGATGGGGATTGAACCCATGATCTTTGGTTTACGAGACCAACACCTTACCACTTGGCCACTGCGCCATTCCCTCCCCCCAGCTCCTCCATGTGTCACATTCCTTCCCCTCAGGCCCTCTGTGTGTCACATTCCCTCCCCTCAGCCCCTACGTGTGTCACATTCCCCTCAGCCCCTCCGTGTGTCACATTCCCCTCAGCCCCTCCGTGTGTCACATTTCCTCCCCTCAGCCCCTCCGTGTGTCACATTTCCTCCCCTCAGCCCCTCCATGTGTCTCATTACTTCCCCTCAGCCCTCCATGTGTTTTATTCCCTCCCCACAGTCCCTCCATGTGTCTCATTTACCTCTGCCCAGCCCTTTCATGTGTCTAATTTCCTTCCCAGCCTCTCCATATGTCTGATTTCCCCCTCCTTGTGTCTTATCCCCCATGTGTCTCATTCCCTCCATATGTTTCAATCCCTCCCCCCAGTCCCTCCATGTGTCTCATTTCCCTTTCCCTAGCCACTTCATCTGTATCATTTTCCAGCCTCCCCATGTCTATCATTCTCTCCATCCAGTCCCCCATGTGTCTTGTTCTCTCCCCCAGCTGATCCATGTGTCTCATTCCTCTCCTCCCAGTCTCTCCTTGGATCTCACAGAGATCTGCAGTAGGCAACTGCAAACCCCGGGCCAGTGTGGCTGTGCATCGTCCCTGAAGTAATGGTGGCCTGCGGTCGCAGGGGTCACTGACAGGCCCGGCCACAATTGTGGCCCCTGCGACCTTGGTAGATACGCCACTGCCTTTTAAGGTCGTTGGAAGATTTGTCACCGCATATGGCTTTGGTCTTGGCAGACTGAAAAAAAACATTTTGTTGTCTATATTTTAGATACACCTATTATAATTATTAAGGGATGACTATACTACTAAATGCATGTGGAGTAAATGCTTGTGTATTAACCAAGGCCCTTTAGAGGTTTGTATAAGACCACCATTGCTCTGATTCAGGTTAATGCATCCTTCTCAGCATGTCAGATTCCTTCCTTGTCTAATGTTTTTTTCCACATATTGTATGCTATTGTAATGCAATTATTTTAAATTACTCTTAATGTTTTCCTTTGGTTATTTAATTTTATGTGAAAGGGCCAATGTGTCTGTGATAAAACCAGGAGGAAGGCAAAATAATTAAATATTTAGGTCATAATTTCAGTGGAGTTTGACGAAAACTTTTCTCAGTTCCAAACAACAGGAAAATACAGGGTAATATTTAGCATTGGGCAATGATAGTTAAGTTGATCTGAGGCCTGGTGCAGAGCCACAAAGTCATTACGATCTTTATATTTTGTCTGGAAAAGCATTTAGCTGTCTTAATAATATAGTTTTATGTAACTTTGTGTATATATTTAAAGCCACCCTGGGGTGTTTTCATTTTCAGCATGATAAAATAGTTTTGTCTCTGGCTTAATATTTTAATTATTTTTTTAAAGTGTACTGAAATTGCTCAGGAACAAAAAATGAATTTAATAATATTTTCTTTTGAAAGTATTTTATTCATCTTTTTACAGTACATGAAGCAATAAAGACATATGCACATGAGTATATTACATTGTATCTAAGTACAGCGTGGCATAATTATACAATCTGTAACTGTAGTGACCTCTTTCTTGCAGGAGGAATGTCTATGTGCCTCTTTTCGTATTTTCTCTATGATGCACCAAACTATATTGTTGCATATATTATGTTAAATGAACACTATGGGGCCAGGAACACAAACATGTATTCCTGACCCTATAGTGTCAGAACCACCATGTCCCCCTCCTAAATGTAGCAGAAATCTTACTTTTATTAAAGTCTGCTGCTGTCTCTGCCCCTGATCTGCCTGCTGTCATCATCAGAAGTGGTGGTAAGAGCCAATCACAATGCTTTCCCATAGGATTGGCTGAAACTGTCAAGGAGGCAGATCAGGGGCAGAGCGAGCACAAGTCAAACACAGCCCTGGCCAATCAGCATCTCCTCATAGAGATTAATTGAGTCAATGCATCTCTATGAGGAAAGTTCACTGTCTCCATGTAGAGGGTGAAGACACTGAATGTCAGTCACACTGTGCAGCACTGCCCCAGGACGCTCCTCTATTAGCCATCTGAGGACTGGCCAATGGAGGCATCCTTAGGCTGTAATGTAAACACTGCATTTTCTCTGAAAAAAGTGTTTACTGCAAAAAGCCTGAAGGGAATGATTACACTCACTAGAACAAATACAATAAGCTGTATATGTTCTAGTAACTATAGTGTCCCTTTAAGTGTGAGATGCTTAGGAGATATATACTTGAAAGTAATGCATAAATAGGAAGAAAAAAAAAGAGCAGCAAACCAAATAATAATACAAGTCTAGTAAAAACTGAAACATCAACTGTATGTTACTTACCTTTTGCCCACTCCCTCCCTTCAGTATCTGATTTTTGGTATAAGGGTTCACTGCAAGTTGTGTTGATACCCTAAGATTTGTTAGCTTGTTTCTCCCCATGTATTCCTCACCAATTTTAATTCCTCTAAAGTCGGCCGCTTTCTCAACTCATTGAAAATGATTAATATTTTCACTGAGGCTTTCTGACCCTTAAAGGGACACGACATCAACATAACTTTAGCATAAAGAAGCAGTTTTGTGTATAGATCATGCCCATTGCAGTCTCAATGCTCAATTGTTTGCCATTTAGAAGTTAAATCACTTTTGTTACCGTTTATGCAGCACTAGCTGCAACTCCCCCGGCTTGAGAGCCCTCATGAAGAAAATGGTTTCACTTTTAATAAGATGGTAACTTGCTTCAGATGTTTTTATCTTCTGCTCTGTAAATTGAGATTTAATCACACACAGAAGGCTCCTGCAGGGTATATACAGCTATTAACAGAGCAGGAGATAGTAAATTCTAAATTAAACAGACTGTGTTTAAACATTAGATTTCTCTTTATAGGAAGTGTTAAGAAAGGCTGTGTAAGTCACATGCAAGGAGGTGTGACTAGGGCTGCATAAACAAAGTGATTTAACTCCTAAATGGCAGATAATTGAGCAGTGAGACTGCTAGGCCATAATCTATACACCAAAACCAGTTCACTAAACTAAAGTTGTCTTGGTGCCTGTTTATAGTGTCCCTTTAAGGTAAATCAAGAGGCAAAAACATAAAGCCATAATTTTATTTTGCTAAAAGGGAAAACAAAATACACCAATCCAATCAAAGAGCGTTGGTATGATCCCTTAAGGGGTAAGGCAATTTTTAGTGCTGCACACATTCGCTCTGCAGATTTATAATTATCTCTGATTTGCATTTTTCTCTGTACATATTCCAGGATCATATCTCTCTCTTTGTTACCACTCTCAGTGCCACTAAGATAGGTAGCCTCTGTAAATCTGGTATGGTTAGCATTGATGTAGTAGGGCAACTGAATCTAAACTACTCTTGTAAATAATTCTGGTGAATCCTGAAAAAAATAAAAATAAACAATGTGTGTCCTGAATCTTCGGTTTTTGTTTTACTACTTGAAATGTTTTGAAAGAAACCAAAATACTTGCCATGCACCCAAAGCCTTCTATTAAGTACCACCTACTCACAAAGCTTGTTTATAACATCAAATATGAACTTTTCTTGTGTGTTTGTATCATACGTTCCATCCCACCACATTTAGTAAAATATCTTTTATGCCATAGGGTTTATTATATAGCAGTAACGTCCTTATTTTGTTAAATACTAGCCTGCAAATGATGTATGCTTCATTAAGTTTACTTTAATATGAGTTCTGTTTTCCAATAAACACCAGGTAAAGGTTTCTATTTACCTTTTTAACCTCCCCACCAAATGTAAGTTTTACATCCACAAAGACTGTCATGGCATCCCTCTATTTTGTGACTGTAGACTTATTATATGCAATAGAGTAATGAAACCATAATTTTATTAAAGACACGGAGGCTCATATTATGCATAACTCTTTCTTTATTTCCTCAGCAGCAAAGATAGAGGAATATAAATATTATCAAATTGAAAGCAAAAAACTGTATAAGTACACAGGCAACCAATAGCATAACATAGGAAGTGGCTATATAAGGCCTGTGTCTCCCACAATCCCCCTCTTTCTTTGCTGCTTCCTCAGACAGCTAAGTACCATTATTGAGCTCTCTACTCATTGCATTTTATTGGTATTATTTGTTGTGTATTCTGGTTTTGCTTCATGCTCATTATTATTTATTGTTTATTTGCTTGTCTTTTACTCTTGTTGCCTGGATCGTTGGTGTATTTGGGGACCCCCCTGGGGCGTTTTGCCCGCTGCCGCGGGCTCTCTCTCTTCCCCTCCCTCCCGCCCCTATCTCTAACCGAGCGCTTCCCAGCGCTGCCCTCTGCCGCGGCGGTTCTCTCGGCACCGCGGCTGAGTGTGCTCGTTTTTTCCCTTTCACAGGCTACCCGCGCGGGTAGGTGCGCGCGCGCCCCTTCCCCCGCCGGGGGCCTGTACACGTGTGCACGTTTTTTCTTAGACGGCGGCCATTTTGGGTGATCGCTACGCATCGCTCAGTATCCTGCCGTGCGGTCTGTTCTCTCTGGGTCTCCCTGCTACACCAGCGATCAGGTCCTTTGTGTTGTTGCTGGGTTAATCAACCCACTTATTTAGTTTTCACCTTTATTGTTCAGTGCCGTTTTTCTAGTGTCTCTGCCATTATGCAGGATAGGGAGGATGGGCCTACTGATCCCTCTGGGGATTTTCCTAATGTTAACCCTGAGGGTGCTATGGCATCTCAGGAGTTTCAAGCCTTATTAGAGGCCACTATGGCTTCCTCACTTCAGAAGGCTATTGCCTCAGCTATGGGGGCTGTCTCCTCCTCCTTTACCCAGTCTCTGCAATCTGGGTTTTTGCCTTCCACGGCTACCCCTGCCCCCTGGGTGTGGGGTCCCCTTCTCCTGCCCATACTGTGCCGGGTGCCCGTAAGGCGAAGGATAAATCTCGTCATATCGGTTCCCACTCCTCGATGCAGGTTTTGCCTGCCATGAATGACTCGCCTCTGGCGGTCACAGATAGCGCGCATCCCACGCGCACAAGAGCCCCTGGCCGGGCTAAAAAGGCTAGATTGTGGAAACGGGCTAGAGCCCTGGATGATGAGTCGGATTCCGACCGGAGTGTGGAAAATGAATCCGATTTTATGGAGTACGACTCCTTTGTTGATGACGAGTCGGGAGAGGACATACCCCCTACGGGGGCTCCCCCTTCTAGGTCCTCTGCCAACCCCCGAGGTAAGGTCACTGGCCCCGCTGGGGACAATATAGCCCTGCTAGACCCACAGGGTAACCCCATGTTTGACCCGGACGACCTCCGTCACCCGCGGTCTGCCGAATGGGTCCCTCCGGACCACATCGCCCAATATGTGGCTAAGCGAATTCGCACGCCCCTATCCAAAGAAGGCCGCAATAAGCTGCGCGCCGAGTGCCCACGGCCTTCTCTCCCTGGCGCTGCCTGCAAGACCCCAGAAATCGACCCACAAATCGCCCAATTTTTAAATAAATCTGGCTGGAAACCTAAGAAGGGTCTTGATCATTCCCTGAAGGGATGCCAGGATAGGATCCTGGATACGCTGGGCCCCCTGTCGAAGCTGTACGAGCTTCTTGATGCCGCTAGATCAGGGGAATCTGTTTTGGATGTGGATGTGGCCATCGGGTGGGTCCAACGGGCTATATGCCTTCTGGGTAACGCCAACACGGCGGTGTCCTCCGAGAGGCGCAAGGCCATTCTACTAAAAATTGACCCTAAATTGGCCGCTATGTCTGTGGCAGAGCCTGATTCGGCTGATGAAGGTCTGTTGTTTGGCACATCCTTCGTGAAGGACATGGGGTCATATGTCAAGACCTTTACGGCTATTGACAAGGCGCAGGCAAATATGAAGCGCGTCTTCGCGCCCAAGGTTTTCGGAGGGGCCGGGCGTAGCAGGAACCGTCCTCCCGGCCGTGGTTTCCGAGGCTCGTTCCGTGCCTCCAGAGGTTCCTTTTTTCCTTCCAGAGGGTTCCAGGACCCGAAAACTCCTTCCTTCTTCCCGGCAAGGGGGAGATCGTGGGGCTCCAGATACCCCCGTGGTGGAACTTCGGGCAGACGCCCTTATGGTGAGTACCCTTTCTTCCCCTCTCGATCAGGTTCGGGTGGCGGGGAGGCTGGCCTTATTCTACCTAAGGTGGGCAGATATAACTGCGGATGCTTGGGTTTTGCAATGCGTAAAGGGTTATCGCCTAGAGTTTGTTTCCCTGCCTGTTCAAATTTCTGTTCCCAGGGAGTTGTCTCTCCCACCGGAACAGGACGCGATGATCTCCGCGGAGGTCGAGGAGATGTTTTCAAAGGGTGCCATAGAAGAATTGCCGTTCGCCGCCCCAGGCTTTACAAGCAATCTCTTCTTAGTACCCAAGAAAGGGGGCGGTGTCCGCCCGGTTATAAATCTTCGCCCTCTCAACGCGTTCCTGCGCTACCAACATTTTCAGATGGAGGGCATCCATTGTCTCAGGGATCTGCTGCGGCAGTCGGATTGGATGGCCAAATTGGACCTGAAGGACGCGTACTTCACGGTTCCAATAGCGGTGGAATCCAGGGACTACTTGCATTTCACCTGGCACGGACGGCGTTGGCGTTTTACATGCCTGCCGTTCGGTCTCTCCTCTGCCCCTTGGTGTTTCACCAAGGTGATGAAGCCGGTGGTGGCGTACCTCCGTACCAGAGGGGTTCGCCTCATTATTTACCTGGACGACATTTTAATTATGTCCCAATCGAAAGAATGCCTGGAGTTGCATCTGAGCTGGACTATCAACCTTTTGCAGAATCTAGGTTTTCTAATCAACTGGGACAAGTCGGTCATGACCTCCGCCCAGTCGATGGAGTTTTTGGGGTTTCAGGTGGATTCCATACGGCAATTCCTCTACTTGCCGGAATCAAAGATGAAGGCCATTCAGAAAGAGCTCCGGCGAGCTCTCCGGGCCTCAGATCTCTCGATACGTCAGTTGGCGAGGATCATCGGCCTACTGGCATCCTCCATTCAGGCGATATTCCCTGGCCCGTTGCATTATCGAGCCCTGCAGCGGCTCAAGGGGTCACACCTTCGTTCGGGCCACTCTTACGAATCACGGATTCGTTTGGACGAGGAATCCAGGGAGGAGATAGCCTGGTGGCTAGCCCACATGGAGGCCTGGAACGGAAGGGCAATTTTCGGTTCCCTTCCGGACGTAGTCATAGAATCGGACGCCAGCTTATACGGCTGGGGCGCTCGTTGTGGCAACGCCTCCACGGGAGGCAGATGGTCCGACGCAGAGAAGTCGTTACACATCAATTGCCTGGAGCTCCTGGCAGGAGCCTTTGCAATCCGCAGCCTTACCCCGGGACGGGCAAACTGTTGCGTTCTCCTCAAGCTGGACAACGTATCAGCGGTCCGATACATCAATCACCTGGGTGGCACCAAATCCAAGATGTTGGCTCTTCTGGCGAAAGAGTTTTGGCAATTCTGCCTTTACAACAACGTCTCTGTGACGGCGGAGCATATTCCGGGTCTGGACAATTCGACTGCGGATTGGAATTCCAGACATTTAAGAGACTCGGGAGACTGGCGCTTGCACGGCTCGGTCTTCCGAGGCCTAGAAGGTCTATGGGGTCGTTTCGAGATGGACCTGTTCGCCTCTCGGCTGAACGCTCAGGTACCGAAATTCTACAGTTGGAGGCCAGATCCGGCGGCAGTGGCGACGGATGCCTTTCTTCAAGAATGGCCCCCGGGTCGCCTCTATGCCTTTCCTCCGTTCAACATGATTGCTCGCACACTCTCCAAAATGGTTCACCACGACTGTTGTCTGGTTCTGATCACTCCCCTGTGGAGATCCCGTCCGTGGTTCCCTCGACTGATGGAGTTGTCGATAGACTTCCCACGGTTGTTGCCGAACTTCCCGGATCTCCTCCTGGATCCGGATGGGAACTCGCACGAACTGGTGATGCGGCACCAGTTGCCCCTGGTGGCTTGGTTCCTTTCAGGGGACGCTGGATTGTCCCTAACGTTCCACAGACAACTCTCTTGCTCCTCGATAACGCGTGGGCCCCGGGCACACGATCAGCTTATCGGGCAGCATGGAAGTCTTGGTCGGGTTGGTGCATGGAACGGGCAATGGATCCCGTATCTGCCCCTCTCCATTTGATCCTGGAATTTCTCACGTTCCTGTTCGATTCGGGCAAGGCGTACAGGACTATCAATCTTTTTCGCTCGGCCATTTCTGCCGGACACGATGGTTTAGAAGGCACACCCGTCGGTAGGCATCCTTTTATATGTCGCCTTCTTAGAGGTATTCGCCTCGCCCGTCCACCCCGGTCGCGTTTTTCGGCCTTTTGGGACGTCAACATTATGTTGCAGTTCCTATCGGCTTGGTACCCTAACCAAGCATTGACTCTCAAACAGCTGTCATCCAAACTGGTTATGCTGCTTTGTCTTATCTCTTGTAAGAGAGTTTCCGATGTCAGGGCCCTGGATTGGGGTGCCATCGTGTTTACTCCTGAGGGTGTTACTTTCAACATCTCTAGGAGGACTAAGTCGGCATCCAAATCCTTCGTGTACCCTAGGTTCTCAGGGTGCCCGGCACTCTGTCCGGTGGATTGTCTTAGGGCTTATCTGGAGGCTACAAGAACGTTTCGTTCTTCTGATCGTCATCCCCTATTCATTTCCTTTAAGGCACCTCATCAACCGGTGTCGACTCCGACGCTAGCGCGTTGGATTCGTTGGCTTTTATCCCTAGCGGGTATAGACACTTCTACCTTTACGCCTCACTCCGTGAGGGGTGCCATGGCCTCGAAGGCATCTTTAGTGGGTTGCCGTCTGGAGGACATCATGCGAGCTGCAGACTGGTCTCGTGAGTCCACCTTCCGAGACTTCTATTTCAGACCAATTGAACACATCGCATCTCAGATAGTAGCACAGCTTTGAACTTGCATAATATGAGCCTCCGTGTCTTTAATAAAATTCCTAGATTTTACTAGTATCATGACGTAAAGTCATGATTTTATTAAAGACACGGAGGCGAGTATTATTCCCTCCCACCCTCCCGGTGTGGGGGTTTGCGAGGGAGATGCGCTTTTTTGGATTTTTCCAGGTATGTTACATTTTGGTCCTCTTATTTGTCTTGACTTTCGTTTGAAGTATATAACTGCTTGATGTCAATCATATGTTGTAATTTCAGATTTCGTTTCAGTTTCATGAATGACCAACAGTTCTGACTGGTAAGCAAACAGTTTGGGTTTAGTTATTACCATATTTCTCTCTCTCTTTTAGCTTGAAGTTGTTGAAGCGCTTCCGTTCCTGTTTCTGACCATGTGGGATATCGTTTCGTCTTAGCTGGTCCTCGGTTTTCGCAAGAAAGAGGGGGATTGTGGGAGACACAGGCCTTATATAGCCACTTCCTATGTTATGCTATTGGTTGCCTGTGTACTTATACAGTTTTTTGCTTTCAATTTGATAATATTTATATTCCTCTATCTTTGCTGCTGAGGAAATAAAGAAAGAGTTATGCATAATACTCGCCTCCGTGTCTTTAATAAAATCATGACTTTACGTCATGATACTAGTAAAATCTAGGAATTGTGTCATACAAACTTAGCACATCTATTTTTATATGATCTAAATCACACCCTTTCTGCATGTTCTACCTTATTAAATCTTCTTTGTTTCTCCCCAAAGCATTCCCTTTAAATCACAACAGCACGTTTTCCAATCCTATTCAACGGTCACAATCATGTCCATAAAGGTAAACTCGTTCTTTATGACCATGCACATTACTCGGATTTATGTTATCGTCACGTCACCCAATAATCTCTCTACTTGATCAGCAACATGTTGAAAGCAAACAGTTTGGTTCTACTACAGAAACAGCACCCAACGTACCCAATATTTAAAATATTAGATATTGTACTGATAAATAGCCCAGTAATATTGGACGGTTTTGTCTGGGTTATCAAAAAAATACAATGTAACAGCATCTTAAAAAGAGTAACAGGCAGCAAGTTGCATGTATTACATCACAGAATGTCACAATATGCTGGGATATATCAGGTGGTTAATTGTGAAAAGTACTTTTCACGTTAGAAGATGGTATACTAGTAAAAGTATGATGAACAGCCTGATAAATTGCACTTAACACGTGCAGTATAACATTAATTTGTTAAACTTCAAAATTCAACAATAAAACAGCAGCAAATATGTTTAAAAGCCCCCCAGCGTAAAGACAGACTCCTCACTGCAGCCATCAATCCTGATGACTGATTTCCAGTCAAATACTTCTCATATAGAAGCATTGGGGACACATGGCAAACGTACAGTAATTGCTGAAATACACTGGACCCGCAGGGTGTCTTTTCTTACCATGCTGATGCTAACGGTAAAATTAGATTCAATAACTAAATCTAAAATCAGTCTGGAGCCCATAGTGACTGTCGGTCTAAGAACTGCAAAATATAAACAGTGTGCAGTATCTATGTCCCCAAATCACTCAATATAAATTACACACGCTCTCCAATAAGCAATGATTTAAAGTTCAGCTACTCAGAACTTATTATTATATTTATTATGAGACTAAGCATTTTAAAGGTTTGAGTTTTTATTGGTGCAAGTAATGATGGTTTTCCACATAAGTTACATTATACTTCTAAGAAATCATGTCAGTTTGTATGTGCAATAATTAGCAAGATTTTTCAAACAACGTTATTGCTCGCTTGTAATCTTCAATGGCTTCGTTCTGTAATCCCAGCTTTCCTCTTACGTCCGACCTTAATTTATACATTAAAGGATCGTCTGGTTGGAGAACTAAAGCTGTAAAGACAAAAGTGAAATAAGTCAGATCTGCCTTTAGGTGGTTTTTTTTCAGTACTTACGATTCAATACTTTTGTATACCCAAGGTTAAAGGAGCACTATAGTGCCAGGAAAACAAACTCGTTTTCCTGGCACTATAGGGTTATTAGGTCCCCCCCTCCCACTGGGCTGAAGGGGTTAAAACCCCTCCAGGCTCTTACCTTAATCCAGCGCCGGGCTCCCTCAGCACTGGTGACCTCTCCTCCCCCTGCCGACGTCAGCTCCGAATGCGCATGCGAGGCCAGAGCCGTGCGCGCATTTAAACCGCCCATAGAATAGCATTATTCAATGCTTTCCCATGGACATCCAGCGTGTCCTCAATGCGATTTTTGTATTGAGGATTGCGGAAGCAGCCTCTAGTAGCTGTCAGGGAGACAGCCACTAGAGACTGGATTAACCCGCAATGCTAACATGGGAGTTTCTCTGAAACTGCTATGTTTACATCTGTAGGGTTAAAACGATGGGGACCTGGCATCCAGACCACTTCATTGAGCTGAAGTGGTCTGGGTGCCTATAGCGGTCCTTCATTGAGCTGAAGTGGTCCTTCATTGAGCTGAAGTGGTCTGGGTGCCTATAGTGGTCCTTCATTGAGCTGAAGTGGTCTGGGTGCCTATAGTGGTCCTTCATTGATCTGAAGTGGTCTGGGTGCTTATAGTAAGCCAGAGTTGAGTAATTCACCTGTTTGTTGTTTTTCTAGTACGTTTTAGTTTTGTGTTTAAATCATCACTTTTTTGTAACAGTGTAGATCTTCCATTGTAAGTAGTCATACCATTTCAGAAGTTTGACATGTACTTTATTTTCCACTGGGTGCCGCTCCCTGCCTCTGTAACTTCTTATGGAGAGCGGGAAGTTGCTGCTGTTAGCTGTTCTGAGCTAAGCCCAGCAATGCAGGATTAGCTCATTGGCTGAGAGAATCAGTTAACTGCAGGGTAAGACTTGCACTGCCAGGCTTAGCTCAGGTAGAGAGCTTCCGTCTGTCCATAGGAAGTAGGAAGTAGTGGGCTGAGAACCTAAGTTCCAGTTACAAAGTGTTAAATACACTATGCTGTTAAATTGTGCTACTCAGAAGTGTTAGGGTGGCTGTATACATTTTCGGATGTTACATGTTTACGTATCGCATAGCTCCAAACATTTCAAGTGTACAAAAACAACACTTTAATGTTAGAAGTGAGAGTAAACTGTAATTTAGCACAAGAACAGTATGTCTTATTTGCATAGATGTAGTTTAAAGACTACAGGGAGTATTACTGCGGTGGAGCTCTGTTATACACTCAATCAACATTGACTCCCCAAAAAAGGAAAGGATTTCTGGGCTTCCTAAGTCAAGTCTGGGGCCACTAGCACCCAGCACATAATTAGCAATAACTCTGTATGTTCAGTGTTTAAAGCAGAAACACTGTACATACCAACTCCTACCACCATGACCCCTTCAAATCACTATGGTAGTCCTGGTAATTGGAGTAACGCTTTAAGATTATTAATTTGTATTTTCTAAGCATGCAGTCCAGTGACTAAGAATGCTCTCACCTTATGTCCCACTTTTATTGACTATTGCTTCTTAATGTGAAGGTGTTTTGTTTTTTTTAAAACATAGTCTATTAATAATTTCGGAATTTTACAGGCTGTGGATGTTAAAAAAACAAACAAACCCAAAACACATTGTTTGCAGTTAATTTGATGTTCTTACCTTGGCTTATATCGCTCTCAGCTTGCTCATATAGTTTCATCATGTAATGCAGATTAGCACGATTAAAGTAGACTGAAGAGGAGACTGGGCAAAGATTTATAACCATCTGGAAGTCTTGCAACGCTCCATGTAAATCCTTTAACAGCATATTTGTAATTCCTCGATTTAGGACTGCCGATTCATTTCCAGGATCCAATTGTATTGCTTGTGTGTAGTATTGTTTGGCCTACAAATATATATAAAAGAAAAAAAGATCATCTAGACATTTAGGAAGTAACAGTAGAAATATTAGTGTACATTGACATTCACATATATAGTGTACCGGTGTACATTGACATTCACATATATAGTGTATCGGTGTACATTGCCATTCACATATATAGTGAACCGGTGTACATTGGCATTCACATATATAGTGTATTGGTGTACATTAGTAGCTCAGTGCTAGAAATCAGATTTAAACTGTGCAGACAAAGTTCCAAGACACTGACACATATTAAAGGGAAGCTAAAGTCACCAGAAATACTACAGCTTAATGTAGTGCTCTGGTGTCTATAGCTTGTCCCTGCAGGCTGAGCAATGTAAACGCTTCAGTGAAAAGGAAGCGTTTACATTGCTCCCTAGTAACAGCTCAGCCACTACAGGGACTTTCTCGTTTCGATCCTGCAATCTGTTTATCATCTACACGCTCTCTGCATATACAATGCATCTCTATGAGGACATGCTGTTTGGCAATATCCTCCCAATACTTTCGTATGGAAAAAGCATTGGATTTGCTGAAATTATCAATATTGATGATCTCACCCAAGGCGGTAGGGGCTGGCCCCAGAGAGACAAGTGATGATGGAGAAATTGTAAGTGAACTACAGTTTAACTCCATTTGGGGTGGGGTGCCAATACATTAATAGAATAGTCCAGACCTATAGTGTTAAGAATACATATTTGAATTCCTAACGCTACAGTGTTTCCTTAAATCATACCTCCCACGTGTCCCTATTTAGGAGGAACAGTCCCTATTTTATTTTGGGTCCAGGATTCCTCTACCCCTCTTTTTTTTAATCTTTAGGTCCCGCTTTTCTTGGAGCTCCATGTTGGTGTGTCTGAGTGTAGAACAGAGCTCCACCGCAGCAATACAGTCATGTGTCTTTAAACTACAATAAATGTGTTTAGAAATTAGTCTGTGTAAATAAGATACATTGATTGACAGTTTGCATAGTTGTCCTACATTACATTTTAGTTGCATAAATTGATACTAGTAAGTCACCTAAAATTTCTCAGAACATCCCTGCCCCCACTCACAACGTGAAAGTGTCCCTCTATGTATATTTTAAATGTTGGGAGGTATGCCTTAAAGCAACACTGAATTGTCAGGAACACAAACTTATTCCTGACACTATAGTGGCAAAATTAATATTTAGGTCCCCACCATATGAAGGCATTGGGAGGCTATTGTGCATGCGCGGCAAAACCCCCTCGCCAATCAGCATCTCCTCATAGAGATATATTGAATTGATGCATCTATGGGGAACATTCAACGCCTCAATGCAGAGGCTGGACATAGGTACTGCACACTGTGCAGCACTGACATTAAAGGGACACTATAGTCACCAGAACAACTACAGCGTATTGAATTTGATCTGGTGAGTAGAATCATTACTGTAACGGAACACCCGTACTCCGACCGAGTACCCTCCGTTGATGGACGCTTTCTAGCTTGCGCCAAGGACCACAAGCACCGTAGCTTAATTGGAGTCTCGCCATCTTCCTTCCACCCTGGACCAGCCTTTGTCCTCCAGGACCGTGTCGGAGAGACCTCTTCTCCAGGAGAGCATAACAGGAACAGCTCTTACAAGAGCTAAGTAATTAAAGCTCAGGGGAGTATACAAGTATAGCTGTCCCCTCCAATCACGAGACAAGACTACGTGTTGAGGGTCAAGAAGATCCGTTTAATGAATACCAAAGGACTTTCTTTTATGCAGGTTTTTCCACAAGGTTACCACCCACATGGACTTGGGGAACAGCCAATCAACAACGTACAATACAGTTAAACACTCCCATTCATTCCAGCAAAATCCTCCCCTCTGCCTGTGATAGAATTACTGTACACAATGGGCTAATGTAATTATCACAGGCAGGAAAATACAGTTTTTATACAATTCTTATAACTTTAAAAGTATACATGCAATAATAATAAAAGTTACATATTCTAAATCAGCATACTCCATATACAAACATATACAAAAATCATACAATTCCCTCCAGTGGTTTAAAAGTTAGGTGGAAGTCCTATTTGACCGACTGCAAGCAAGGCTTTCCTGCCCAAAAGAGTTCCATAGATTTGGGCTGTGCGGTCAGTCTATTTTACACACAAAAGACGACTAAGTCCCATTCGAACACACGAACGGG